TAATAATTAATAAAATAATTAAAATTTATTACTTAATAAATTAAAATTAATTTATAAATTAATATTTTTAGACATAATAATTTGTTGGTTAAAAAATACAAATATTAATAAAATTAAATACAATTTTGGTGGCCTTAGTAAATGAATTAGTTATCATAACAATATTTATGTATTTCATGATAAACACTAAAATACTTCAGGTGTATTTGGTTAAAAGTAAATTTTTTTAAAAAAATTTATTAAGAAAGTGATTGAAAAAATATTGTATGAAAAATTATCAATTTTATAATAAAATCTTATTAAAATTTTATTAAATATTAATTTTGTTATATTTGATAAAAAAATGGCTATTGGTTTGTTTTTGGATATGGACATCTTTCCAATTAAACAAGCTGATATGGACATCTGTCCAATTGAGCACTCCTTTCTTTTATGTGTTTGGCGGGATAATTAAAAAAAAAAAAGTAGCCCTATAAATTTGTATGGATATCTTATCAAATTATGTTTGTTTTTGATGTTGATGTTGACTCATAAAATCCCTAGGACTTTATATGTCATGAATTTTTGGTGCTGTTGCCTTATAAATTTTGTATTATTTTCATTTGATAAAGTTCACATGTTGTTACAAAATGGATTTTCAAATTGTTTCTATTTGATAAAGAGTTCACATATTCTTACAAACTAGACTTGGGTGTGAATATCATTAACGTTAAAGTCATCCCAACAAAACGAAGTAGGAAATGCTAGAATTATCACAAAGGTGACTGAAGTTCATTGCAATCAGATCAGTAACAAGGACGCACACCTAAATGGGGTCACCTATATCAGGAAAGCCAACTGCCTTAGATACCGGCCTCCATTGCCCGTGAGTGGTTCCCTCGCCAAAAGTCTCCCTTGAGAGAGCCTAGGATAAATCCTTATTTGGGTTTATTTATTCTTTATTCTGAAGATACATAATAAAAGGTAATAATTATATAATAATAATTATTTATTATCTTAAAAATAATAAAATTAATTTTTATTTTAATTGTAAATATTATGTATTAGTTTTTTTTATTTTAAAACTAAAATCAAAGCTTATTTTTTAGTTTAATATTTTATTTTTTAAAATAATAATTATTAATTCATAATTATTTTTAATCTTGTACATAAAAGCACAAGATAAACAAACTCATTCATATTTAATTATCAACAACAAACCCATATGTTGATATGGACATCTATCCAATTAAGCAACCCCTGTCCTTTTTGTTGGTGGGGAAATTAAAGCAAGGGGGAAAGATATGGCTATGTTTAAGCATGTCAGATTTTAATCCTCCTTTGTCGTTTTTTGAATCAAAATTAATGCTCTTTTTATTGTTGAAGTTGACTCTTCAAATCCCTAAGACTTTATAGGTCATGAATTTTTGGTGGTGTTGCACCATAAATTTGAAACATTTTCATTGACAAAGTCCACATGTTGTTACAAGATAGACTTGAGTTGTGCATATCAAAATAAATACTTGGATAATTAAATCAATAATACTATAGTGAAAGAGAGTCTAAGAAGAAAAGCTATCAAGAATAAGTAAATGCAGAGTAAGAATATCAATTATTTTTATGTAAGAAAATAGGTAAAAAATATTTGTAGTCTTGAAGGTTGAAGTCATGGAGTATGGTCCACGTGGCATGCTTCTATTGATTTAAGTGTTGCCTATCTAAAAGTTGAATTTTAGCCAAAACCTTGAAGATTGAGCTTTTATGAGTCTTGAAAACCTAATTTTGAGTGGGCTAAACTTTCTACTTGCCCCTCTATGTTGTTCCTTTTTACAATCAACACTTTAAATTAATTTTATTCTTGGTCAGTACTCTATAATTTATAGAATGCAATAAATCCAAAATTATAATGTCAAGTCAGGCACTAATCATGTGTACATTAAATTCTGTCAATTGAGATATTATGTGGCACAATTAATGACACGGCTGCCACGTGTGTTTAGTGACCCCACTAATCTAAGGGATATTTTTCGCTTGCCCTCATTCCAAGGATAGTCATATAAGACAAATTTTTTATATAATTTTTATAAATTATTAAATGAATAGATACATTTAATATTATAAATTTTAAATAAATAAAAATAATCAATAATTTAAATAATGTATAAAATTATATCCAAAAAATTATAAAAAAGTTGTCTAAATCATTATCCTTTTTAACATCTACATTAAATTAAAGAAGCCATGTCATGTGCTCCTCAATTCTTATCATCTACATCAAATTAAAGAAGCCATGTCATGTCCACCTCAATGCCCTTGTGCCACATAATGTCTCAACTAACGGATTTTAATGTGCACGTGATTTACACATGACTTATCATTACAATTTTTAACATCTACATTAAATTAAACAAGCCATGTCATGTCCACCTCAATGCCCTTGTGCCACATAATGTCTCAACTAACGGATTTTAATGTACACGTGATTTACACATGACTTATCATTACAATTTTGAGTTTATTGTGGTTTATAAATTATGAAGGTGCTAATAAAGAGAAAAATTAATTTAAAGTATTAATTGTGAAAAGAAAAAATGTATAAGGGATACATAGGGGATTTGGCCATTTGAGTGTGTTGGGTTATTGTTTGGACACTTATAAAATTCAAAATTTGCATATACATGACATGTTTTGGTTGGCGAAGCTCCTCTCAATCATCAACTAATTAAGAAGGTTCCCTACTATGCACATGGGACAGTATTACAACAACTATTTATAAAAGGATCTCTAGAAACTGTTCACATAGCTTCAGGGAACATCAACTTAGTTAAGTTATTAACTTGAAGGTAGTTGACTCAAAAAAAGCAAGGAAAAAATAAAAAACAAAAGAAAATAACTGCAGAAAGTCAGTTTCTTTCACTTCACACTAAAATAATAATGAAACTTATTTACAAATTAAAGTAATTCTAAAAGCCTAAGGTTTTACAATTTACATGCCTTTCGATTTTAATCAATTAGTGGAAAAAAATTGCTAATGTGTAGTGGTGTCTCTATATCCATGGCCATGGGAGAATAATAATTCGGTCCCTAAGCTAATGGCGATCGAATGGACGTGGCATCTCCACGTCTGTTAGTTCAACATATTCACATTATGATTAAAATTATAAATGAAGTCCCCATACTTAACATGTTAAATTAATTTTCATCCTTTAACTTTTTAAATTATTTTTCATCCTTCACATTATGATTAAATTTAAATTTATTTTCATCCATCCCATTGTAGTGTGTATCTTGTGTTAGACACTCTAATACTTCAGTTAATAATACTCTAATAAAAAAGAGCATAGAGAGAGAAGCTTTCAAAGTAAGAATGTCAATTATCTTAAAAGGTAATTGAGGGATATTTATATATTCAAATCATACAGTGTGGTTCACATGATGATCCAATCCTATCGCTCTAAGTGCTGTCCATACGAGAGTTCTGCTTTTAGCTAGCCAAGGCCTAAAAGGTGGGTCTTTGAAGCACAATTTAAGTGTTGGGTTATTGTCTTAACATTAATTGCTTTCCCTTCAAAAAACCGTTTAAACGGCAACTAGTTGTTCACATAGTGACAAGGTAATTTCTAACAGAGTTATTAAAACTGTGACGAACAAGAGAAGTTGTCGAGCAAAGAAGTCAGTTTATAAAATAGTAATCCAGCATGAGTTTTATGCTTACTGTTGAACAAAATGTTGTTGACAGTAATCAAATGAACCAAATGCGAGCAGATCGCTCTAATGGTAATTAAGTTGGCAATCAAATCAAGTACGTGCTATGACGTAACAGTCATGCGACCAAGTCAGCATTTGCTGCGATCATGGACTATAGACTCGTGAAACTGATGATATATCACCACAAAGGTAGCCTGCGGTCATATGTATTTGTCCGAAGGGGCACGGAAACTATCACCGCAAAGGTAGCCTGTGTCTGGGTTGGCCCAAATGCGAGAGAGAATTGTCACAAAGGGGACGGTAGTTTGTTGCAATCATCAGGATCAGTAACAAGGTGACTTACCTAAATGGGCTCACATGTGATCACGAAAGCCAATTTGCGTAAGATGCTGGGCACCATTGCCCGTGAGAGGTTCACTCGCCAAAAGTCTCCCCTGAGAGAGCCCACGACAAATTCTTATTTAATTATCACCATCAAACCCATATGCTGGTATGGACATCTTTCCAATTAAACACTCTCTCTCCTTTTTGTTGGTGGGGTAATTAAAACAAGTGGGAAAGATATGGCTATGTTTAAGCAGGTGAGGTTGGTACTGAGAGCACTTGCTTATATGATAAGTGATACACATATACAATCCTGGCAAGGTTTTTAGTAATCTGCATACAAACTACATTACAAGCAGTCAGATGCTCAAATGACTACATTTTCATGTTAGCTTTTAGCTTCACTTATTTAAGCTCTAAGAAAACAACTTGACAGTATTATAATAAGAAAGAAGAGAATATATGGTTTGTACAACCGTAAGTATGAGCAAGGAAACAGCAGCAAGGAACGAAATCAATGCCCATGGAGTGTTGAAGTAATTGTGCTTTAAGTTTTCCATCCATAAATTCCACTTACTACCAGAATATTTCTCCACATTATTAATTATCTCCGAATAGAAGTTCTCGTTGGAAAACACAATTGAGTCGCATAGCCCGTTGAATATGGTGGCAACATCCTCATCATCACCTAACCCATTAACAATAATTCCAGACTGACGGAGTAACTCAACATCATTCCTGGTGTTAATCAAGCAATCCATGAATGTGACATAATCAGTGACATACCTTGGGTGCTTGTTGTGGCTTTGTTCGTGGGCAATAAAATTACGAAGGATGGAGTCTGTATAATCATACATTTCTATGGTTGGTATCCACAGTACACCGTTCTCAAACTTAATATCAAAGAAGCTCTTCTCATTATCCATCTTCTTGAACTTGATTCCTGCTTCTCGGAGCTCTATTGCACTACGTTTAAAATTCCATCCACCATATTCTTCTGAACTTTGGTTGTAATTTAGTCTTGCTTCAGCCGAAGGAACCCAGCTATCAAGCACTAAGCCGAGTAGATACTTGGTAATTTGGTCAGAGATTACAAAAGGTGGTTCAATTCCATTTCCGCAGCCTGGCATCACTCTAGAGAAGAAATCTAGGGCCGTTAGAATGAAGCCATGAACATTCTCTTGATTAGGCTCTCGAGTCATATGAAACAGCTCTGATAGTACAAAGAAAGGCAGCTGATTTTCCACCAGTAATAAATCACAGGCTATGCTTACCACGTTGAAATTTGGAAAATTATCATTCCTTTCTCGGAGTTCTCCACAATTCCAAGTCTGATACTTGCGGATTATCTCAATGATGAAGCAGCCATCAAGGAGCATCATTTCTACAAGTGCATCTCCATCAATATTATGAATCAGAGGTTCTGCATAGCATTTGCGAATCTTTTCTTCCTTATCTTTCAAAGCCATCACATATTTACGCACACCAGTCTCCCCTCTTCTTTGAAGGAGCCTATTTAGATAAAACATTTTGTGCGCTTCCATGCCTTTCAAATGATCTTTTCCATGATGATAAGGTCCGATTGAGATTATTTGAGGTTCGTAGGCCTTTTCATTTGTCTGGCGTAGTAGATTAGGTACTTTGAAACACATTGGCAATGAAACTGTTGAAAATGATGGAAGCTTTTCATCTATCCGAGTGGCGAGACGATCAGTTGCTTCATGTTCATCCCCCATCAATCAACTGCTCAAAAATATGAGAAACGGAATGATTGGTAAATGAAACTATAAGGATTCAACATCATATACCTTGGAAATTCCAGGTTAGTTTATCACAAGGTAAAAATTAAATTACTGATGAAAAGATGGAAAAGCCGAAAGCGTCATCAAACTCAATTGATCCAAAGGAGCAAACTGGAGAATGGGTTAGAGCAGAAAAAGGAGAAATATGGATTGATTTTCCAATAATCCCTTATTTCAAAAAAGCTATAAAAAACTTAATTCCGAATTAAGGGGTCAATAGTTTTAAAATTCTAGGGTAAGTGACCTTCGCTGTAAAGAGGAAAATGATCCTTGATTTCTACAATAGTTTTTTCCCCTTTCCAAGAAAAAACATTAACATATAACTTGTTTTCGGTTACCTGCTTATGAACTTCTCAGTGTTGTCTCTTCCTTTCCAAATGGAAGTGCTAATTACACCTCTCTTATAAGTTGAACAGCTTGTGGTGGTGGTTGCTATAATTTATCCTCTTATTGTTGCTCCATAAGCCCGAACCGTTGACCAAGTCCAATTGTTTCTGCAAGATACGTGTATGTGCTCTGTATTTTTGGTTAGACATGGACATCTTTCCAATTGAACACCCCTTTCCTTTTTTGTTGGTGGGGTAATTATTTTTTTTTATTTAATGTCTTTAGAGTACAAATCAAATATATAATAAATATATTTTTTTATAATTAATTTATATAAAAAATAATAAAAATCAATTTAAATTTAATTAATTAAAATTATTTATATAATAATATTAAAATAAAAATTAATTTTTTATTTTTATATAAATTAATTATAAAAAATATATTTATTATATACTTAATTAATACCCTCAAGAATTTAGACAAACCCTTCGTAATACCCTAAAATTTCCATTTGACAAAAGCCACATGTTCTTAGAAAATCGGCTTGAGGGGTGGCCCGCGGGCATAGTTATGTACACTAATTTATTTGTTAAAATATTAAAATTATGTTAAAATTATAAATTATATTTAATTAAATTATTAAAAATAATTAATAATTAATAAAATAATAAATATTATTACTTAAAAATTAAAATTAATTTATAAATTGATAATTTTAAATATCATTATTTTTTACTTAAAAAAATATAAATATAAGCAAAATTGAATACAATTTTAATAG